TTCCCAAAAGAATATTCTTGATTTAAGCTGAAAATTGTATCATCCACTTCACATTCTTATCTATTGTTAGTGTTGGCACCAGAAATTGGCAGTCATCTCAGTGATGGTGTGAATGAATTAAATAGCGACAAGTGGCCTTGACATGGCGGCAAAAGAAGGCCACTTTAGAGACACTGTGAAGAAATAAAATGGATTGCACTTGGGGCTACTATAATTATGGAGAAGTTGACAAAGAAGTTATATTTAAGGAGTGTGAAGTTGACTTATTCAAATAAGTACAAAGAACCCAGGATACTATTGTGAGTCAATAACTAAAGACCTAAGCAAAAGGGCGTCAAACATAAAGGATAACATGTGTCACACAAGGAACAAATTTGGCTACAATTTGTTTGCCTAATTTAATTTCAGAAAGGAAAGAATCAAGGCAGGAGAGATTTTCTAGCAAAAAGTTACGAAAATAAGTTGAGACAAAATTCTATAAATAGGAAAGTTTGTAATATTTCCAAACCGTCCAGCATCACCCACAAAAACATGAATTTCATATTCAATTGACTCAATGTCATTTTATCAAATCTTTATTTCTTTTGTCCAATGGCAATTTTCATTCAAAGAATCTAAGTTTCAGTAACTTACTTTTCTTTTCAATGCTTTAATTATGCTATTTCATTTCAAAATGTTTGTTTTATTCAAGTGAATTAAATGGCAATCTTTGATCAGATTTCTGTCATCTAAATTCAGCCAGTTTATCTCACTTCATTATTTTCCATGCAATTTCCATTCAGCCAGTTCTTTTAAAGTCTATTTCCATTCAGTCATCTTCCTTTAAAGTCAATTTAAATTCAGCTAGTACATTTAAACTCCTTTACTTTAAATTGCATTTTTATTTCTTTTTAACACTATTATAAAAAGTCCTTGTATCAAGGTAAAAAAAGAATCCAGCTGAGAGTTCTTCCTATTCTCTCTCTTGCACAATCGCCTGAAGTCGGCTACCAAAAGAGATAGTTTGGTGTTCAATCATTTTTTAGTATATACATACTCTGGCACGCCCGTAAACTCCATCGGCCTTGTGAAGCCAAAAAACGCGCGAACATAAATGGGCATGCTCGATGGGACCCCACTTGGTGTTAAAAGAATATGTAATGCCGCGACCGAAGAACTCTAAGGCCGCAGCCACAAACGATGATCCGGAAGAAGAACATCAGCCAGCTCAGGTTGGTAACTCTACATTAGGCCTGTGGATGAACTAGCTATACAATCAAAAGTAGCAATTGTTCAAACACAGGTGTGCTCTTTGTTAGAGGCGATTTAAAGAATGAGTGCAAGTCAAAATGACCTGCACAAAATAATATCTCGGCTTTCAGCCACCATTATGAATAGGCCAGCTCAGGCTGGGAACTTTAACAATTAGGAATCGGATACTCAGCCGATTTCGTTACAATTTGTTTAGCCGGTAGTGGCTGCTGAGCTATCACAACCCTGGCCGCCTATGGTTCTACTTTAACTAAGCACGACAGCAAGTTTATCACTAAATTTGTCATCGGTTTGAGCAGAGAACCAACCGTAACCAATTATTTCAATTTTCCAGCAGCCGCCAATGACGAATCAGCATCAGCGGCCACAGGTAATTCCTTCAAACCCTTCTCGGGTACCCTTTAACCCTTTAACTCAGGGGGAAATCAGATTAGGTGGAGGGATATAAATTCACTATATTCTCATATACCACAACCTCTGACACTCGAGGGGCAGCCGATGGCTAACCAGCCAGAAGGTTGGCCAATTTATAATCAGCCACCAGCGAAAAATCAACTGCCAGTGGTAAATCAATCACAGCCAGAAGGATGACCGGTTTACAATCAGCCACCAGCAGAAAATCAGCCGTAAGTGGCACATCAGCCAAAACTTTTTAACCCGGGGGGTAACCAAGTAAAGTAGAGAGCTCTAAATCCACTATATGCTCAAGAACCACCATAGCAAAGACTCGGGGGGCAACCGATGGCTAATCAGCCAGAAGACAGTCACTAGTGGAAAATCAGTCGCCAGTGGTATATCAACGAAAACCTTTGGTACTCGGGAGGCAGTCGATGGCTAATCAGCCACTAGTGGTAAATTAAGATCGACCAGTCGTTGATCAGCCCAATCAGCCAACAACAGTCGATAAAGTTCAACTGCCTGATATTATAAAGCAAGAATATGGTAATGGTCTTAGGCGAATAGGCCGACCAATGTATAAAAAACTCTATCCAGACACATATAACTTGATAAAGTTTCCTAGATGATACAATTTCCCTAACTTTGTGACTTTCAGTGGCGAAGGAAACCATCAGTAGTAAAGCACATTGGTCGCTTCACAGTTCAATGTGGTGAGGTTGGTACAAACCCTTGGTTGAAGATGAGGCTTTTCCCAAACTCTTTGAGAAGGGCAACCTTCTCGTGGTATATTCATCTGCCACCAAATTCCATCTTTAATTGACAGCAGATAGAAGAAATATTTTTCACTCAATTTTGACTTACCAAGCCAAAATAAGCCACAAGCCACATTCGACCATCTACCATATCGGCCAAAAGGGGAGTGGATGATATTGGAAAAAAGGCAATTGATGATGACATTTTGAAATTCTCCAAAAAGCTGTCAAAAGTCACGAGGTTCAACAATGATCTTTTCATAGTAGGTAGTAATGTGATCGGCCAGGCTCCCAAAGAAAAGGTTGATGAAGGGAATCAGCCGAAGGTTGCTGAGAGTAAACCGTCAGCCACTCCAAATGCCAATGCTGTGGAAGAAATAAAAGAACAATTGAGAGAAACACAATCTGCTCTCATTCAACATGGTTGCTACCCTCAGTGGAAGTTATCAACCGAGGTAAAGTTAAATTTTTTTATAAAATAAAAGTCCAAACTCGGTTTTCTAAAAGAAGTATTCAAGAAAGATTCACATCTCAACAAAGTAAAAGAATTGTAGGATCAAGTCGGCCAAATTACCAGAATGCTTGGCCGAGAGTGATAACTAATCCTCAGCCAAAACCGTCATTGGCTGAAAGAATTCTTTTAGCTTGTCGTCCTCAACCTAATTTCAGGAAAAGAAAGCGGGGATGGCAATGAAAAAAGGTTAAGTTGAAGAGAAATTTGTGGAAGAAAATAGATCGACCATGTAGTGCAAAATTTTACGTGGCCGATGCAGTGCTAGACGACGAGAATCATGTTCTGTTAAAGTTCAAAAGAACAAATAAAATGGGGCGACCAGCATCGGCCACTATGACAAGAAGTCTGGCTAATGATAACTTAAAAACGATAGCCAGAAAGGTATTTTGGCTAAGTATAAAACTTCCTCGACCAGTTGCTAAAGTGCCAAATAAAGAATCAAGGAAGAGTCAGGCCATGATGGCCGCTTACATTCTGAAAGCTTACTTGGGCGAGAACAAATCGGCCACAAAAAAAATACTATTCTTGGTATTTTCAGCTGATATATAGCTTAAATTATTAAAGAAAATGAACGTTCAGAAACTTTGGATAAGGTGCTTTCAGAAGCTCCATGGAAGTATAAAAATTCAAGAGGATCAGCCACCAGAGAAGCTCCGGCAGAATTTTGTTCTTCTAATAGAGAAGCCAATTAGATCGGCCCAAATGACATTACATAACAACTTGATCCTGGTCGATCACGATCATGCCTTACTAGAAAAGTTAAGAAACTTCAATGATGAGGTCTATCATGGGTTTATAAATGGTTGATACCTTGAAGGGTATCAACCAGCTTTGTGGGAATAATGGAAGAACTAGGATCAGCCAATTCTAGCTGACGCAAAATAAAAACCAACTTAGAGGTGATCCGGAAGAAATAAAGTTTAGAAACTCGTTGGCTGCCATTTTCTTCCATGTGATTTTCAATACACTTTAAAATTCCAAAAATCTTATCGGCTTGGGTGGCCGATAAGACATTCGAAATTTTGGGGGCATTTGTTTGCACCAAAAATTGGCAGTCATCTAAGCGGTGACGTGAATGAATTAAATAGCGACAAATGGCCCTGACATGGCACCAAAAGAAGGCCACTTTGGAGACAATGTGAAGAAATAAGATGGATTGCACTTAGGGCTACTATAATTATGGAGAAGTTGACAAAGAAGTTGCTATATTTAAGGAGTGTGAAGTTGACTTATTCAAATAAGGTAATAATGCGTTAGCAAGAGAAGTACAAAGGACCCAGGAAACTGTTGTGAGTCAATAACTAAAGACCTAAGCAAGAGGGAGTCAAAGTTAAAGGATGACATGTGTCACGCAAGGAGCAAATTTGGCCACAATTTATTGGCCTAATTTAATTTCAAAAAGGAAGAAATCAAGGCAAGAGAGATTTTCTAGCATAAATAAGAAAGTTTATAATCTTTCCAAACCGTCCAGCACCACTCACAAAACCATGAATTTCATAATCAATTGATTCAACGTCATTTTATCAAATCTTTATTTCGTCTAGCAATTTTCATTCAAAGAATCTAAGTTCCAGAAACTTACTTTTCTTTTGCAATACTTTAATTATTCTATTTCATTTCAAAATGTTTGTTTTATTCAATTGAATTAAATAGCAATCTTTGATCAGATTTCTGTCATCTAAATTCAGCCAGTTTATCTCATTTCATTATTTTCCATGCAATTTCCATTCGGCCAATTCTTTTAAAGTTTATTTTCATTCAGCCATCTTCCTTTAAAGTCAATTTCAATTCAGCCAGTACATTTAAATTACTTTACTTTAAATTGCATTTTTATTTCTTTTCAACACTATTATAAAAAGTCATTGCAACAAGGCAAAAAAAGAATCCAGCCGTGAGTTCTCATATTCTCTCTCTTGCACAATCGCCTAAAGTCAGCCACCAAAAGAAATATAGTTTGGTGTTCAATCATTTTTGAGTATATACATACTCTGGCACGCCCACAAACTCCATCAGCCTTGTGAAGCCCAAAAAAACGCGCTAACAGTTAGCAATCTAGGTTGTTTTTACAACTCATGTATGGGTCATAACTGAACAAGATGATTATGTACTAATAAGTTGAGCTGCTCAATTTACATTAGACTACTTAACCTTTGCAGCCACGAGGCATTACATGACGCAAACTCCTCCCAACCATTAAGTATAAGCAGACAAGGACCTCGAGCTCAAATGACAAGTACAACTACTGCAAATAAGAAGAAACTAAAAGAAAGCACTATTCAATAGTCAAAGTGGGCATACCACATTTGGCTGGGGCGATTCAGTTGTAAAAGATGCATTATTATAGGAGAAAATGACACAATAAAACTTGGCAATTGCATAATTAACCCAATGATGTGATGAAGCAAAAGCTGGAGTCAACTTTCCATAAGTAGAAATTTTAAGAGTTCATTTTCATTCTTCGGCTGAGAACCACGACGTTTCTTCCCTTCATGTTAAGAAAGAAGATGTCAACATAGTAGTAAAGACAAGAAAGAGTAGACAACTACACCATTCAAGGGATCGAAGCCACTACAAATATAACAAAAACTCTAATTTCCTCATCAGAATTTCATCGTCCAATGTACATGAATATGACCCTCTTCCAAATTAAATATAATGTAAACAGAAACATCAGATGTGAACCCTCCTATAAACCATACCTCTCACAGCAAGTACGACTCAACAACAGTCCGGCCGAACTTCTCCTGAACGTCTTTCGGAGTTTCGATCTGGAAAACGTGAAGACAGAATCAGTACATATTGAAAATTTGGAGTTTAACCAAAATGAAAGGAAAACAAAATTTTTTATGGCCTACTTACCGCATTCAGAGCCTTAAAAAGAGCTTTAACTGTATTATGTGGATTCCTGGAGCCAATAACCTACCAAGTCAATTGAGGTTAGAACAAGAGCAGATTTTCAGTACCACCCTTGCAATACAGAATGAATTTAGCATATTACCTTAGACTTGACATTCTTGAAGCCAGCCAAATTTAAAATGGTTTCGACAGTTTTGCCAGCTTTCATACCCGTTGTAGTACGGGCAGGCCAGAGATACACCTGCAAGATACATGAATTCAAAGTTAAGCCATTTTGGCAGGTAAATAAAAGAAAAGGGGGAAAGGAATTTAGAAGAAACCACCAAATGGGTTGAAAACCTTGGTTTTCTTATATGTTGTTTGTACTGCATGTGCAATTGTATGCTCCTCGTGCCGTTCTACATAATGAAGATTCTGAAAGCATTTCTCATATGCCTGTTCAATGTAAAATCAATCAGTAAACGACACAAAACATCAACATGCAGTGATGCATCTAAAATTGAAACTTTTAATGAATTGCAAATACAGCTTATACATAAGGAACTTTAATTAAACTTATTCAATTGAAATTTTCAACAAACTGTTAGGTCTCTAACCCGTCCAACCCTCTCAGCACCCTCAGTTAATGGGGACAAACACTGGGACATTAAAACAGAAGTATTTGGAGGGTTATAGGAATTTTCAATTGCACTCGGTCAGAGAAACTGTCCAAAGTGTAAGAAAATTTAACAAATATACTGACTTATCATAGACAATTCTGTATGCTTTTTAAACCAGTTTCCAGAAAGATATTAGTCCTATCCTTACCTGCTATTTTGGCAACTTAACGTTGTTTAAACAAAAGATCACCGCAAGTACAAAATTACCTTTCTATACATTAAAAACATTATTATTGAATATCCAAACTCACAAATGCTACCAGCTGCATAGTTAATCCTCTTAAGATGGCTAAGTTATGGACGACATGCTGCTACTGTAGTTCCTTGGGTCCGTAGGACTCCTTATTGGCTTCTGCCTTTGTGTTGTTTGCGGGATGCGTGCCTCTCTTGAATGCTTTATAATACATTTTTACTTATAAAAAATAAAATAAAAAAATGCTGCTACTGTAGATTATTAAGCAGATAGTTGCTGCCCACTTGGCAAAAGCATAAATCAGTTTTCTTCCAGAACCCAAAAAGAAAATAACTAAACTCATGCATGTTGAATATGATAGCTCAAATGCAAATGACACTTTCACCTTTCTCTAGATATTTTGAAATAAAAAATCAATAAGACTTGAAAAAAAAAAAAGGTATGAAAGAAAGGTGGCAATAAAGTTACAACTCACGCGTTTAGATCAATTAGTTCTCATTCTCTCTTTCCCTCCAAGTGAGTTTGATCCTAAGAAACTAGTTTTGCTTTCTGTGAAAGAACATGGGGCAACCAAGAAACATCTCCAAAAAGTCAACATAGATAAGGTGTGGATATAGATATGGAGAGACCACACAAATTATTAAAAATGGACGAATTCCTGATCCATGTTTGGACCTCAGAGGCAGTACCAATGAAGGAAAATCAAGAAGGTAAGTGAAAGTTAGCTGAGACGCTTTGGTCACGGAGGATATGGCTCAGGATAATTACATAAATGAGAGACAAGACGATAAAATGTTGGCCACGATGAGATGTGAATTCCTCTAGCATAGCAGGGATGTATAAAATGAATCTTGTTGACTAAAATATTTCCAAAAAGCATCGAGTATGACTATAAAAATAAAAGAAGTAGAAGACGTATTCAATATTTGACTAACTTGAGAGGTCATACTTGGAACGCTTAAGCAAACATTAAAATATGAAGTCAGGGTGTCATAAATCAGTTGTTTCATTCTCATGAGACTAACTGCTGCACACCTGTCTTGCTAAAACAACAGTGGGTGATAAACAGACCAAAAAGAATTAATTTTGCACTATCTTTACTAATATGAAGAAAGCAAATTACGGTAACTGTGATTAGAGCATTGTAACTCAAGGTTCTGATATTTCAAAGTGCGCAAGGTTCAATTAGAGTTGAACAGGGTTTTTTAAACTTGATCAATCTATTTGAGAAATTTTAGGATCAAAACTCTAATTTTGAAAAACAAGTTTAAAACATATTTAAGCCATGACACAATATCCTAACAGTTTCCAAAAAACTATTTTTGAAGATTTTTAACATGAAAGAGCCAACATGCTGAAACATATTCACAACATTAAGAACAGATATAGATTACTAGAAATTGTCATTAAATGATTGAAGAGATGAATAAAAAAAGGGTTAGCCTTGTGCACGAGGCTCCCACCATTGCGAGAGTCTGGGGAGGGTCAGATGTATGTAGCCTAACCTCTGCATGTGGAGAATCTTTTTCCTTGATTGGAATTCATGACCTCCAAGCCACAATGGACCAACCTCACCATTGTGCCAAGGCCCACCCTCATTGAAGAGATGAATCTTTAATCATATTCAATATAGATAACAATTAACAATACATGTAGGAGTCAGTTGATTCAAATTAAAGGTGACAATAAACTAAAGGAAGACCAATAGAATAGAAGGCCAAATGGTGAGAGAAGAGACAACGAAAGATTTCCCTTGACTAGCAAACTGGTTCAAGCAGCCAATGCTTATTTGCTTGGATTTAAATCTTTATTAAATTAAAAATATATATATATTATGTTTTATTCGCCAACAAATGCCCTACGCCTTGGCATATGTAATATACTGATAAGTTAATCTGATTAAGCAAGTTTACCAGGCGAAGAACACAAATAAGATCACTGCTAATCATGGAACAAAATTATGTTCCATAAATTCACTGTTTCATTTGTTTCCATAAATTCACTGAACAGGAAGTTTCTTCCATGGGAATGGCATGTCTTGAACAGCATATCTGCATGCGGACGTAAGGCTGCTTACTCCCCAGACCCCGCAATGACGGGAGTCTCGTGCACTGGGTTTGCCCATGCTCCTTTGATGGGCAACTTTCCAGAAGATCTTCAAGGTAGATATTCTCCTCTTCTCAGAAAGACCATACTCTTTTTTGGTCAGGTGACACAGAAGGGAGAGTTGGACAATATGGGGAAACTTTAAGGCTGCTCGTGTTCCAGAGGGAAAAAAGGTAAGAATCACCAGCATGCATCTCACCGGGGATGCCAAACTCTGGTGGAGAAGACGGATGGAGGATTATGCTAATGCTGGCCAGCCATCCTAAGATTGAAAGATGGGAAGCTTTAAAGAAAGAATTGAAGGATCAATTCTTTCCTTGCAAGACAGCATTTCCTAAGCTATTGAGGCTAGGCCTGTAAATGATGTGTTGACAAATCTTGAATGGATTAGATTATTATCATAAGCTGAACCGTAGATAGGCTCACCAGAGCCTAAATGATGTTTCAAGAATACATAAAGTTCATGAAAAATTCAAAGCACCAATGATACCTTCTGAAGGGCAATTGGGACCGCGGGGCCTCTTGCTTTTGCAAAGCCAATAACACCATGATAGTTCCCACAAGCTAACATAGCACTGTACTTGACCACTTGGCCCCCCTATAGGAAAATAAGATCTAAATTAAATTGCAAAAATGTTCATCTAAGATATTTCAAATTAGCGGCAACAGTACCTTTGTAACTTTACAAGTCCGATTAACATCAATTAGTCGTACATCAAAGCCCTGCCATCATCACGACAATAGAGTTAAAGTTTAAAAAGCATGGAAGAACATCCAACTACATATTCACACGTAGAGAGAAAATAAAATGTAAAAGAAAATGTTAAAAATGCACATAGCCAACAACAAACATGCAAAAGAAGATGGACATGAGACAGACAGAATTAAAAATTACATAGATGGTGGCACTCAGCATGGTTATATAATAGAGAAAAATGTGAATTTACAATAAACAGAGAAATTCATCTTATTCAAGGTAGCATTTGGGAGAGCTTTCTGAAGCCTCAAAAAGTCCTTGTAAACTTCAAAATTCGTTTAACAGAAAAAGAGTGATATTTGGTTATGCATACTGGAAGGACTCATCATTATGTGAGCTAACAATTATATCCTATATTAAAATATCCTAAACCAGTTATAAGAGGAGCCTCCTGTCATTCTGTTATGAAAAAAAAAAAAAAAAAAGTAAATATACTTCTAAGGTAAACTCCTCATATTTTTCTCTCCCTTAATACAATTGAGTTCTTGTTGTTTCTTCTTCTTCTTTTTATTTTTTATTTTTTATTTTATTATTTATTTATTTATTTATTTTGATAAGTAAGTTCTTGTTGTTTCTCTTCCATTTCATCCAGGTTTTTCCTATTTTCTGCACCAAATCTAGTATCAAAGTAACATCGACGTGTCAATGCATGAGAGATGTGGAGGGAAAGAACAGCAAGCCCAAGAAGTAGAGATGATTAGACCTACTATGCATGTTGGTGATTTGTCACTTTCCGCCTCTAGTTGATCTCGCCATACTTGATCTGATTGATATGGAGGGGGCTGATGATTGTTTTAGTAGAAATATAAAATAAAAAAAGAGAAAGGAGAGAATTGTGTAAAGGCTTGAATGGGATAAATCACTCTTCCATAGCTCTAGTATTTATAGATAAAAGAGCACATGCTCATATTACAAGAAAGGAAATTAAATCAAATTTTCAATTCTTGTGAATGGTTCTCCCGCTGGTTTCGTTGGCTGCAGTCGGGGTATAAGACAAGGTGATCCTTTGTCGTCTTTCCTTTTTCTTATTGTTATGGAGGGCTTAAGCAGACTTATGTGCAGGGCAGAGGATCTTGGTCTTATTAAGGGCTTCAGGGTGGCTAGAGATCTAGTCCATCAGATGGAGATCTCTCATTTACTTTTTGTACACGATACCCTGGTTTTCTGTGATGCTAATGTGTCTCAACTCCGATATTTGAGGTGCATCCTGGCTTGTTTTCAAGCAGTTTCCGGGCTAAAGGTAAACGTGGCTAAGAGTGTGCTTGTCCCAGTAGGGAATGTTCAGGATATTTCTTCTTTAGCTGCAATTCTTGGATGCAAGGTGAGTTCTTTTCGTATTCCTTATTTGGGTTTGCCCCTAGGTCTCCTCAAGGATAGTGGGGAGTTGGGATTCAGTGATTGACAAGTATGCGAAAAGATTCGCAGGATGGAAGAAGCAATACTTGTTTAAGAGGGGTAAAGTTACTCTTATTAAGAGTACATTATCGAGCCTCCCCACTTATTTTCTATCTATGTTCCAAATCCCATGCTCCGTTGCGGATAGGATTGAAAAAATTCAAAGGGACTTCCTATAGGGAGGAAGGGGTGACGAGTTCAAGTATCACCTTGTCAGATGGGAGCAAGTTTGCAAGCCTATGAAGTTGGGTGGTTTTGGCATTAGACGATTAGTTCCTTTTAATCAAGCTCTCCTGGGTAAATGGTTATGGAGATATGGGAGGGAAAGACATCGTCCTTGGCATAGGTTAGTCTCTTGTCAGTTTGGGGAAAAGGTTGGTAGCTGGTCTACACGTCCGGTTTCTCTTGTGGGAGGAGTTGGGATGTGGAAATCCATTCGGAAGGGATGGGATGCCTTTTCTGTTCATATCAGATTCAAAGTTCGTGATGGAAGTCGCGTTTGTTCTTGGGAAGATCTTTGGTGTGGTGATCAGCCATTATCTCGTACATTTCCTAGATTATTCAGTATTGCAGTTGATAAAAACGCCTACATAGCTGACTGTTATCGGCTTGATAGTAGTGGGATTACATGGGATGTGCACTTTCGGCGTTCTTTTCAGGATTGGGAGTTGAACGAGGTATGCGTTTTTCTGGATCATTTGTATCAGCAAGAGGGAGTTGGCAGAGGTTATGATGATTTGACATGGGTTCCCTTTTCCCACGGTCATTTCGAAATAAGATCTTTGTTCTTATGTCTGTCTAATTTTGATAACCGTGACTTCCCGTGGAAGACCCTATGGCAATCCATGGCTTCAACTAGGGTGGCTTTCTTTGTCTGGACGTTTGGGATAAGATTCTGACAATTGATAACCTGAGGAAAAGGGGTAATTGTTTTGCTAATTGGTGTTGCCTATGCAAGAAAGATAGGGAGTTAGTTGATCACCTCCTTATGCATTGCCCTGTGGCGCATAACTGTTGGAATCTTATTCTTGGGTTGTTCGGCATGCGTTAGGTAATGCCACGATCTACTAAGGATTTGATTCATGTCTGGAGAGGATGTCGTGTGAGAAGGGATGTACGCGATTTCTGGAGAATTGTTCCACATTGTGTATGGTTGTGCATTTGGAACGAGAGAAATAGTAGAATGTTCGAAGTGAATGAGTCGTAAACAACGAACAATGTCTCCTCAGACCATTTCCCTTCACATGTTTAAAACATGTAGATGGAAGAATCAACAATGTCTCCTCAGACCATTCCCCTTCATACATATGTTTAAACAATGTAGATGGAAGAATCAACAATGTCTCATCAGACCATAAAAAAGAAACAACTATATCTCCTCAGACCATTTCTAAATGGGTGGTGCCAAACTCGCAACGCCTTCATTGACGTTGGACCACCCTGCCTATACAACACCTCCCGGATGGGCGATGTCACCTTAGACAATTCCCGAATGGGTGGTGCCGAACTTGAAATGCCCTCATTGCAGTCAGACCACCCTGGCTCTGCTACCAAGTAGAAATATATATAAATAAAAAAATAAAAAAGAGAGAAATGAGATAATTGTGTAAAGGTTTGAATGAGATAAATCACTCATTCATAACTCTAGTATTTATAGATAAAAGAGCACATGCTCATATTACAAGAAAGAAAATTAAATCAAATCTAAATTAAATCAAAGCATATTCTATAACATAATCAAATCTCTGCTAATATGGCAAGTCATTCCATAAATCGTGGCTATCATATTTGCTAACAGTTTTTGATATGTCCTAGATTGTAGAACAAGCCCTTCACGAATGTAAAAGGTGTGAGATTATTCAAATTCTCAAGCAATGAAACTGTGTAGCCTCAAAGAAAGAGATCCTTCATCTAGAGCCTCAATTCTTGGATTGATTCCCATCTCCTTGCTAAGTCTACGGGCTTTATACCGCTCATGAGAGTGACAGACCACCCAATTGCTCAATGACCAAGAATTAGCAATTAACGCGGGAAGGAACTTATCTCCTACCTAATGCAATTGACTGACCCGCCATCTCGTCATCCATGTAAAGATGTTCAAACCCGTTCTCTCGCTGTAAAGGCGCCCTTCCCTCCTACTAGCACTACTAGGCCCAAGGGGGATATTTTTTTATGCTATTTGCTATGCCGTTTATTCTTCTCCAAACAGGGTAAGAGAGTCTCATGGGGTGGTGATCAACAAGGGAACTACTCCAAGCAAGTCTGGTTGCATATTAGGAATTCAATAAGGAGGATAGGGAAAAAGTTGGTGTAAGGACAAGAGGGGTTCCAGGGGATCAAGGCAAGAAAGACTATAGAGGAGAAGTGGCAGAACTACACGAAGAAGACAAACATTGTAATTGTAACACAATAGCTCATAATACAATGCCCGGAAGATCTACTCGTACTTCTTTTCCTGAATTGGTTGAGTGCATCAAAAGTGACCACCTCTGAAACACGGGATCAAAATCATACATATCAAATACCACTTAGTCAACTTGGAGAGAGTTTGTGCCCTTATTTCAAAGGGAGGTTTGGGGATTTGAAGGCTGGACATGTTCAATAAGGCTTTGTCAGGTAAATGGCTTTGGAGATTTGGGGGTGAAAAGACAAAATTATGGAAGCGTGTCATATCTTGTAGATTCGGGGAGGGAGATGGAGGGTGGATTTCTAGGGAGACGAGAATTCCAGCGAGCATGGGATCTTGGAAATTTATTCGGAAGGGCTGGAATGAGTTCTTTAACCGTATCTGGTTCAAAGTTAAGAGCGGAAGGCATGTCAAATTTTGGGAGGACCGATGGTGCGGGGACTTTTGTGTTATCTCGTAGATTTCCTAGCCTCTTCAGGATTTCTGTGAACAAGTATGCAGTAGTTGCTGACTGTTATCAGCTTGATAATGGAAGGGTGACTTGGGATGTACAATTTCGCAAACAGTTCCATGATTGGGAGCTTACGGATGTTTCAGACTTCCTTGCCTTGATTTACAACCAGGTGGTGGAGGGTGTGGGTATGGATATGATGGTGTGGGAGGGATCCTTAATAGGGGAGTTTGAGGTTAGATCCTTTTATCAAAGTCTTATGGAGATCCCTGGCCCCTGTTTCCCTTGGAGAGCTGTTAGGAAGACGAAAGCACCCTTGAAGGTTGCTTTTTTTACATGGTCTGCTGCCCTTGGGAGTATCCTCACTCTCGACAACCTCTAAAGGAGACTTCAGGTTGTGGTGAACTGGTGTTACATGTGTAAGAGATCGGGGGAATCTGTGAATCACCTTTTACTTCACTGTCCTGTGGTGAGGGATATTTGGGCTATGTTCTTAGTTGCTTTTGGTGTGGCTTAGGTGTTTCCTCAGTCAATAGTTGATTTTTTAGAGGCTTGGAAAGGGTGTACAGTGGAGAGCCAAGTTAGAGATGCTTGGAGGGCCATCCCCCTTTGTATTTGGTGGGGCTTGTGGCTTGAGAGAAATATGAGATCCTTTGAAGGGGTGATATCTCCCATTTGGTCTCTCAAATATAAACTTTCTTCTTTATTCTTTTAGGTTAATGGGCGAAATTGTATATCTATAGATAGTCTTTTGAAGTTTGTGGATAGCTTAAAGATGTAGTGTCGCTATTTAGGCGGCTTCTTGTTCTTTGGGAGCGCTCCCCTTTTAAGCGCCTTTGATGAATTTTTACTTATCAAAAAATAAAAATAAAAATCATACAAATCATAAACTGAGGTCATGGACACAGGGAACAAGGGTGGATAGAAATCCAATTGATATAAATACGCAACCAAAGGGACAAGAAAGAATTGATCAAAGACAGGCTTGCAAGTGGGAGTTGAAGCTTTTTTTTTATGGTAGATAGTCTTTAATTTTTTTTTTTTTTATAAGTAAAAGTATATTAAAAAGCGTTGGGAACGCGTCTAGAAAGCCAGACAAAGGCCGAAGCCAAAGAAAGAGTCCTAAGGACCCAAAGAACCCAAAAAATCCATTATTTCATCAATAGATGTACAATTTCTCCCCATCACCTAACTAAAAAGAGAACTAATAATAGAAAATTTCAATGCCCCAATGGGAGATTCTTCCTCATCAAAAGATCTTCGATTCCACTCTTTCCAAATGCACCACCAAACACATAGAGGGGTCGCCTTCTAAACCTCACGGGCATGGGCCCCCACACTATAGCCTCTCCAACTATCAATCAAATCCCTTGAAGACCGAGGCATAACCCAAAAAATACCGAACAGACCAAAAATAAGGCTCCAGCATTCATGAGCCACAAGGCAATGTAAAAGAAGATAATTCACGGACTCTCCATCATTTTTACACAGACAACACCAATTGACTGTGATTTATCTTCTCTTTCTCAGATTGTCTAACATGAGAATCTTGCCCAAAACTGAAATCCAAACAAAAAAGGCCACCCTAAGAGGAGCCTTCGATAGCCAAACTGTCTTCCATAGGAAAGTAGATCCATGAAACCCAGAAAGACATAGAAAGAAGGAACGAACCTCGAACTTCGCCTGAGGAGAAGGCACCCAAACCAATGAATCCAAATCTGTACCATCCACCTCCTGTCTATACAAAAGATCCAGTAGAGCAGAAACAACGTCCAGCTCCCAATCCTGAAAAGCTTGCCGAAATCGCACGTACCAAGTAAGCCTACCGCTATCAAGCCGATATCACACTGCTACAAAAACATGTCTATCAACAGGGATCCTGAAAAGTCTTGGGAACAGACAAGACAACAGGCGATCACCACACCAAACATCCTCCCAAAACTGGACGTCCCTACCCTCTCAAACTCCAAATCCAATATGCTTGGAGAACTTATCCCAGCCCTTTTGAATAAATTTCCACACCCCTACACCAAAAGCAGATCAAACTGGTCCCAAGAACCAACCCCTTTCTATCCTCCCCAAAACAGCATTAAATGACTCTCCTCCACAAACGGTGTCTTTCGCAACCAAATCTCCACAACCACTTACCAAGAACTCAAGAAGCGCCCTGGTGAAGGGAGCCAACCTCCTAAACCCAAGACAACCCAACTGCAAAGACCTGCAAACATGCTCCCATCGGACAAGATGGTACTTGAATTCCTCCCCCCGGCCGCCCCAAAGGAAGTTCCTTTCAAGTTTCTCGAGTCTACAAGCAATAGAAGAAGAAATCTGGAATAGTGAAAGAGAATAAGTTGGAAGGCTCGACAACGTGCTCTATACCAAGTTAACCATCCCACCCTTCAAAAGATAACTACTTCTTCCACCCAGCCAATCTTCTCTCAAATCGCTCGATCACCCGATCACAACGTCCCCCTCCTTGATGAAGCACCCAAAGGCAAACCCAGATAAGATATAGTGAAGGAACTCATCCGACACCCTAGAACCGAAGCAAGAGAAGCCACCTCCTGAACTTCCCCCCACTGGAACAAGCACACTCTTTCCCACATTGACTTTCAAACTTGAGACCGCCTAAAAGCAATTAAGACACCTCTGCTTCACAGAAGACCAAAGTATCATCCGCGAATAGCAAATGAGTCCTCTAACTACTGAGTGGACCATACGCTTCTCCACGCCCAAAAAAAAGAGCAAACTGAAGATTTTTAGCTCATATAGGCCTTGTACGTAAGGCATTCCACTTGCTCCTTTGACCACATAGCAGAATATGGCACTTTGCACGCCTTTCACTCATTCTGCCATTCATCCCCATTTCCTCCAGTTCAAAGATTTAGGCTCCTTGCCTCCACTAGAGGTGAAAAAGAGGTTTCGAGAATCTATCCCACCCCCGCTGACTCCTTACTCTATAAGAAGGGTGCTTTAGCATATGAGTCAGTCACCCAAGCAAGGAATCTTTACAGCCCCACATTCCATGCTGGTTGATCTGCCTTGAAAGACTTCCCGAATGTAACCAAGGAAAGGGATAACCAGTATCGGTAGTTCCATCCCACACTCCATGAAACAAGGCCCTAATCTCCTCTCTTCATTTCCTTTTGTCTTTGCATACCCCTTAGGGCTGGTGTAGAGTTCTCACTCTAAGCACATTGACTAAATCCCTTTTATTAAAGCCTTATCTTGACGACTCAACTCATTCTAATGTCGTACGTCCCCACCCTTCTTGCCCCCTTCTTTCCCTTTGTCTAAAGCCTATTGCCCTTCCAGATTAGAAGAGGTAGGTTTGCCTTTCACCTGGAGAAAAAAATTTGAGTGGAACTCTACTTGAGAGATTGCGAAGTGCCTTGATTGTGGAAGATAGGAGTGAAAGAGCGGTTGAAGCCGCCATGTGAACAAGAGGCCGCCAAATAGGAGATAAGGAGTGTTCAGAAGCAGAAGTTACAACATTAGAAAGAAAGACCAGATTTAGCACCGAGTTTGATAGAGACAAGGTAAGCAAGAAGTCTTGCATCTGGTATATCGACTAAAATCCTTTCAGAACTTTCACTTTAGTTTAGCTTATCCTGTCACGGGCTTCACCAAGTTCCAATTCTTCAAGGTCAAGAAAGCAATCCAGCCAATCATTCCTTGTCACACCTAATTATTAGTACCGGTCTTAGTATTTTTATTACTGTTGGTATCAATCTCGATCCATGCTTCAATATCGACTTTTTTTCTAAGGCAAAATTTAGAATTTTCCAATCAAAGTATTTTCTATCCGGATTTTTTCGTTGTGGAAGTTGATTTACATGGATTAGCTTCTTACCAACTGCCCATCCTACCTCCTCTACATAACGATTCCTTGGAACATTGGAAAGTGGCTTTAGGGATGAAGAATAGACCGATTTCAAGGAAGACCCCTTCTATGGATGAGTATCAATAGAGGAACTTAAACATGATGGTGGAGTTGACAATTCAAGGATTTAATATAAACAATAAACGAGTCAAGATCAAAGTTGATTTCTCTTCTAAGATAAATGCAAAAGACATTTGCATTGAAATACGAGTTTAGAAAATCTTTGCAAAAGGAAACCTAGAGCCAAAGAGAAGAAGGTCCTGTCCTAAAGCTTAAGTTAAAAGACAATAAGGTTCAAAGAGTTGAAGAACAGCATACCCGACAAGGAAAGTCAAATATAAGAACTTGGTAGCATATGAAAGCAAATATATGAGGCAGTTTTTACCCGCCGATTTTTATTTTATTTTTGATAAGTTTTACCCTCTGATTTTTACGCAATGGAGTTGTATTATAAGTGATTAATTTTGTTGAAGCGAAAGGCTATAAGGATCAAAGAGAACACCTCTAAGTTCAATTCTCTCTCCATTCAAATTGGTTTAAACAGAATGAAAGTGCCTCTGGTTTTCTCTAGTATTTGGATCTGTCCATTAGAGATGAGGATTTTTCATTCTCTCAATCTAGAAGATTCTTGACAATATGCCTTAATGGATAACAAAAGAGTATGTCGCCATGGTGTGAAGAAGCAACTATCTTAAAATGTTAACAGCACTGCCCAAAGGAAGGAATGCACTACTAAGATGGTGGAAGTCAATAAACAGATCAAACAACTGAACAAGGAACTGCTACAATTATCCAAATTCCAAACAAATGGAAGATAAAATGGTGATGCTGATAGGTGTAAAGGAGAAGGAAATCGCAAGATTCAATGACCTGAACATCACAGGTGTAAGAGCGGAATGTGCCAGAATAATCAGTTGTTTCACTTGCAGAGAGGGGAAGCACATCGAAACCGAAGAGGATAAATTTTAGAAACAATTTATAAGACTAGTCTGGTGATGAAAAAGAAAATGTGAATGCTTTGCCAATACAAGGGAGCCTTTGGTAGTACAATGAGTCATGAAAACACCCAAGATTGAAGAAGAGGATTTGAGGTGCTGCAAAATTTTCTGCACAAGTATTGAATAAGGGAAAGGAATGCACTGTCGACTTTACAACGGTGGTATAGCAAGAATATTTTAGTTGGTTGCATAAAAGTTGAAATTTTCGGCAGCTAGACATTCTAATCCTTATAAAGTGGTATGGTTTCAGAAAGGATATTAGAAACTTGTTACATCCTGTTGTTCAGTTAAATTTTCTATAGGTGATAAAGTTGATAATAGCATCAACGCTGTGACAATGGACCCATGTTGTATATTACTGGGAAGGCCATAATTGTATGATAATAATACAACCCACCTCACTAGCCTGATACATATGAGTTTAAAACTTAAAAGAGGGCACTGAAACATTAACTTTGCACCCACTCAAGTAAGAAGTCACTGTTACTCCTACAACCAGCTTGGGTAATGGATTTCTAACAGTGCAAATATTTAAAACTAAAGCAGGGAAACAGAAATTATGGAGTGCTAGATTGTAGGAGTATGCAGGTGGATTTGGCTGTAAATTTTATTGAGTATCCACCTGAAATTCACTAACTGATGGAGAATTTCATGGTCTAACTATAAAGAGAATAAATTAAACCAACAATAAAAGGAACAATTTGTGACAAGATATGAGGAAAAAAACAATAATAATTCTGAAAAGGAAGATTGAACCCATCAGGTTGACATGCTTTACTACATTCACTTACTTTCCTGTAAAGAGGTATCCTCTTTTTCTCTGTCAATGAATTTCTCTCCTCAGCAAGATCTCTGATCTCCTCCTCTAGGACTCTTCCCTTCTTTCCGAATGTATGATCCAACTGTGCCAGCTTCTCTTCAAGTTTCTTGTCAATTGCATTAAGCTTCTCTAAGAGTTTATCATCTTTCTCTTTCATGTCGTTGAACTCCTCATCATCATCGTCATCTTCATCTGGTGTAGCCTTTCCTATAATTTTCCCTTCGTCCTTTTCAAATTCATCATGTTCTTCCAAATGATCAACGGAGGGTCCTGATTGTTCGAGATTAATGACACCATAATTGTCGGGGTTACTAGGATCATAAGCTTCCTTCCACTCAATTAATCTGATTGCCCTATTCAATTTGTGTTGAAGAAGAAATTTATCCTTGCCAGTGGCTTCTTTGAGACGGTTCATGAGCTCACCAATGACCCGGTATTCTGGGCGTAACCGGAAGTGCTTTTGCTCAAATTTGTCTATTCTATTCATCCATCTAAAAGCATCATCAAGTGTCTCTGCTCACAAAACAAACAAACATACATACATACATAAAATAATAATCAATGCCCAGTTACAGAACTTACAGTGCCAAACTTGACTAGTTCTACTAATGCAAGAATTTTTCAATATATCATGAAGTTACAAAAAAACATGATAATAATTTACCAGCTTTAGTGAAGTTGTTGAGGAGCTCTCCGTGTCTCTCGAACTTCTTGTCGAATTCCTTGATTCGTTTCTGGATGGCGTCTTCAGTGAACCTCTCGTCGTCGTCGCTGCTGTCGGAGTCAGTGGGCTCTTCGCGGAGGTTGAGAGTGGCGGTGGAGATGACTTTGAGCTTCTCTTTCTCGAGTTTCTCGATGAGTGGACTCACACCCATGAAATCCTCTTCGTCCTCGGCATCAATGTCGGCTGTGTCCAAACCAGCCCTTTTCCTCTCCTCTCTCTCCTTGTGCTTTTCCCTTTCAACTTCCGCGAGAAGCTCCTCAATTGTCTCTCCGTCTGATGATTGATCATAGTAGAATCGATGATGATGGAAAGAAAACCCCAATCCCCCAAATGGAAGGAATTGATGATGATTCTGCAAATGGTTGATTTTGGGAAAGAATGGTAGATTTTGGAAACGATGATGATGAGAACAAGTTGAGTAATAGTCGGATTGTTGGGATTGTTTGAGGACGAGAAATGGTTGGGATTGTTGTAAGAGGCGAGACCATCGCACTGATCTTTTCATCATCATCATGATTATATTATATAATCAGCAATTGTAGCTTCAATTCATTTCATTGAAGAAGAGAAATACACCAAGAGTGAGTGGTTTTAGAGAGAGAGGTGCGGATACAGTAAGTGACACAGAAAGCAGCAGTCTCATTAGGGTTACGTGGTTTTCTTCTAAACCCACAGACGCCAAAACCATGGATCAAAACAAATAGACCCGCTCCACACCCGTTTCGGCCGGTGTAGCACCCAAAATAAAACCCATTTGTTAATTACATTATTTTCTCACACATGGTTTAAGAAATTTGGTACAAACAGTTCGAATCCTAATCTCCATTTTGGTTTCAATTTTTTAAGACGAAAATCAATACTCTCAATCATAGAGTAATAGCCAATTGTTTATGGAATCTCAAACCTATCCTCCATGTTGCGTCTCTCCCCCTCACATTGTTTATTCCATTATTTTTAGCGTAATAGAATGGTGAAATTATTGAAGATTGATTTTGTGCCATCTACTAATGAAAAGGAACCAATGGAACTTGCCATTGGCCCACACCTGATCGCAACTATGGCAAGTTTGAAAGGAAAGTCATATTGGAATATTAAAATGCATATGATTTCACGTAGTAATATGAAGCAAGGATCAATAGGCCAATTAAATCCCACCGATCTGGAATCTTTTATTTTAGAAATGGTGAGTCCTATAAAGACTTGCCATCTTTAAATAATGGCCCATGATTCCCTAATGATATGGAACATAGGATTACATAGAAATACTACTATACATACATGCAAACTTATGCAATTATTCAAGATAAGGCTCATCCAACCAATTAGCTTTCAATACATAGAGCTTATGCCATAATGATATTGGTAAACCAATATAAAAATGACACATGGCAAGTTCAATAGAACTTACCATGGTATGTCAATCCTTCCAAGGGATTGTTATTGTAGAGCATTTTGGAGTCGTGTATTGTCAAAATCATGAAAGGAAGGAAGACTTACCAAAATGGTTAGACCTAAGTTGACTAAGCAAGGAAAAGGAGAATGTGGTGCCAAAAATCTCTCCTATTTTTTAGGGATTTTAGCAAATATTTAGTCACTAACCTTGCTAAGTGTTAAGCGCTTAATAATAGTTTATTTGTGATTTTACATTATTTTATTGTTTTTATTTATTTCAGAGCTTTAATTGTAAAATCAGTCAAGATCAGTGATTTCGAGCTTTAAAAGATGACATTATGTGGGATCGAGCAATGTTGAAGATCCAAGTTTAATTATACTTAGAAAATAGTCCAAAAGAAGTCACAAGTTGATGAGAATGGAAAGAAGAAGAAAAGGAAAAATCATTCTCCAAAAAGGAAACTTTCGCCAAAGTTGGTTACTTGAACCCGTTTTGGTAATCTAGTTGTATCTCTCTCCTCAAATGTCAAAACAGCTAAATTCTCACGTAAATGGAAAGGAAATTCGAAGAGTTACAATTTTGTATTTTACAAGGATTCCATAAAACAATTGTTTACCTTGTCAAAATTGGCCTGGAAGTCTATACGAATTTTGGAGTCCTTATTTGACAGAATTTCTATGTATGTCTTCTCTATGAAAAAGGAAACTTTAGGGGCTGATCTTTTATTATTTAAAGGGAGTCCTCTACAGCATTGAGGATCATCACACCGAGGAGCTTGAGGCTGAGATCAGAGGAGAAGCATTCAGAAGAAAGAAGAGATCAATCCATGGCAGTGAAGATGTCTTCCTCAACCATGAAGAATTCCATTCCAGTCATGCTTGGCTAAACGCTTTGCTAGGGTTGTGATGTAGTCCTAGCTTAGCACACTGGTTTGATTGTATTTAATTATTGGAGAACAATTTTTATCATGCATGATTGTATAATGTATAGGATTTTTAATTGACTTTTCAATAAGAATCAGTTTTAAAGTTCTAATTCAATTACAAATATTTTTCTATCTTGTCTTAGATATTTTAATCTTGTAATTGAACACAACTCATTCGCTTCTTGTAGTTGTGAATGAGATGATTACACAATGGTATTTCTCTGAATATAATGTTAGAGATTTAATGGATTATGCCTAGAAAAGATAAACCATGCTACATCCTAGAGTAAAGTAGATAGGTAGATGATTTATACCAATCGAAGATAGTCCATGCTTAGCTTTAAATTATATTATTTTCGAACTGAATTAATATGTGCTTGTAGCCACGATTAATTCCCTATGCATGTTATATGATATATTTTCAATAAATTGATACAATTGACTGGTGGTGCGACGTTAGTGGTGAAGTCATACCCCTAATCATCTCTCTCTCTATTTTCTTCATCCTATTTAATTATTGTTCTTTAGTTTATTTTATTTTTCTACTCAGTTAATTTAGAATTAATCATCACTCATCACAATTCGATTATCCTGCTTTAAAGTTAATTTAGAATTTAAGAAATTTGTTGACAAACTTAATTTACACAAGTCCCTTGGGTATGACACCCTTACAAGTAAACCCTATCTGCAAAGATTCGTGCACTTGCGAGTGGTACATATAAATCTCACAACACTAAGTCAAAACACAATGTTGCAAAAGAAAAAGAACTTGGGGGATGATCTGTATTTATAGTGTGTGTGTGTGTGTGTGTGTGTGTGTGTGTGTGTGTACTAAAAATACGACTCATGAAGAAGGAAATCGCTAAAATCATGGGGCCACAATGCCATGGAAGAAAATTAGAAAGGAAAGTTCAACTGGAAGAGGTTACCAAAAGCGAAGGAGAACGTGTGTATAATTGACAGATATATATGCATGATATATATATAGAATTATACAGGAAGAAGGTTTCTATGAAAAGAAAAGACTTCTTAAATCATGGGACACTTAACACAAGCACGTCAGTTGAAAGTGGTGGCACTTCATGCAGTTATTACCACTAACTGAAAGAAATTGTCGAATGTGATGGATAATAGGGCTAAATTAATGGAATCGTGTGTCTAAAAAAAAGAAGAAATCGACAACATGAGGAAGAAGAACAAAATAACGTAGGACACATGTAAGCTTGTGAAGAGAACAAGAGGAAAACTTATTTCAAGAACTACCCATAACTTGAAATCGTGGAATGCTAAAAAAACATGGCTAGAATCATGTGTTAGAAGGAACAAAGAGAAAAAAGAAGGTGGTTGCAGAAATGGAGGTAACCACCAAAGACATGGGACACTTGGCAATTCGAAGCTAAGCCAAGTGAAAGCTACCAAGGCTACCACACATCAATTTGCTGTGTCACGGCCTAAATTCAAAGAACCTGGTGCATCAATAAGTAACCCGAAACTTGACCCGATATCGAGTCCGAAATGCGAAAACGAAACAACAGAGAATGTCACTAGAGGCGAATGCCACCCCTAGGACGAAGAAGGTCCTTAAACGAGGTAATAATACACAGTATGGAACCAAATGATGAAGCAAAAAGACAAAGGGGTCACGTGGTACCTCCCGGCACCGAGTGACAAGAAAGGTGACATACCAAGTACATCTAAACCTGAATCAACGCATATAAAGTTGAAGACATGCAATAGGGACCCTATGAAGGCCCTAACATGAAAAACAAATGGCCAAAACAAAGCTGGCAACAAGAAGGCATTTCGGTCGTCCGAAATGAAGCCAGGAAATCGGTCATCCAAAATGAAAAACTACTCTGACGGTTGCAGTCCGAAAAGTAAAATGGCTACTGCTTGAAGTTGCAATTAAAATGCAATAAAAATTGGTTGTCCGAAATGGAGTTTCGGTCTACCAAAATGACTCGAAAATGTAGAAAACTTTGATGCAAAACTAGAAAATGCAATGACCACCCCTATGGCCTCAAGACAGAAATTCTAAGTATCGTGTAAGATACAATATGGATTGGAAATGCTAGAACACAATGATAAATACTCACATCATACTAATCTAACCATTTAACATGTGTGATAAGCGCTGAATATTGCATATTCGAGCCCCTAAATACACATATGTTAAGACCTTAAGTGATACTTCTATCCAGTTTTAGACTGATTTATGTTTATTTCGTGTTTTTAAGTACTTTCCCAAAGAAATGGTTAAAATCGAGCTTTTATGATGAAAAAACTGATATCATCTTGATTGGCGAACTGGATTTGTCAAGGGGTATGCACTCATTGAATAAAAGATTGATATTGAAGATTACAAAATTATTACCGATCATTTGAAGCAAGTTGAGAGTCAAAAAGGGTAATTTTGGAAAAGTTCAAGTGTCAAGGCTCGAGCCCTTGTTCCTAAGGCTCGAGCCAAAAACCAACTGAAGCAAGAATTCCAACTAAGTAAACAAGGCTCGAGCAGCTCTTAAGGCTTAAGCCCAAATTCAAGGTACTCATGCCCTTACAGGAGTGCTCGAACCCAAATTATCAATATCAAGAGTCACTTTGGAGAACTCCAGGTTGCCGAGGCTCGAGCCTTTGTCCATAAGGCTCGAGCTCAACTTCCAAGGCTCAAGCCCCAAAGCATGGTGATTGAGCACTGTTAAAGATTCATCCCAAAAATATTCTAATTGTTGAAGAAAAAGACGCTTTAGAAATTATTTGAAGAAAAATGACTAAGTGTTGAAGTTATACTTCGGCCTTATCCCAAGAGGCTCGAGCCCAAGCCCTAAAGCTCGAGCCCTTGCTGTTTAGTCAGACTTAATTGATGCAGGATTTGTCTTATTGAAGTCCTTTTTCATCTCAAATAGGCCCAAATTACCCAAGAAGACCTAAAAGCCCGTCCAACCCTTATTAGAGGTTAATTTTTCTATAAAAGGAGGCACAAGGCCATAGATTAAAAAGTTCCCCTCTTAGTTATTTTCTCTCAATTAGTGATGGCTTTTAGGGTTTTGAAGGTGGAAATCCCAAGAAGAGAATTGCAGTCTATGGCGATGAAGATCACAACAACACAGATGATATCACGTTATCATGAGTAGCTAATTCCTCTCTTAGGGCATTGATGTAGCCCAAATTCAAGTATTATGGTTTTATCGTTCTTAACTTTGGGGTTTTATATGTTTATGTATCTTGATTGCATAATTATGAGCAACTAATTACGGATCAGTTGGTGTTTTAATGAAATAATGGTTTTTTAATGATTATTACCTTGTCTTAGATATAATTATTCTTAAATT